CTGTGGGTCCCAGGATTTCTCTTTCTCCTGTTCTTCCTGATCACGATACTGTTTTTCACTCAAGGTCACTGAGTGCATGAGCAAATCCCTGGGGAAAAACAAACAAACTTGTCTATAAAAATACATTGATGCAATTAGTTTTTTTTTTAAATTGCTATGTTGCATCATCAGCCCCTAATGTGTTTGTTGCCTTATTTTAAACATTTGTGGTCCCTTTGTAGCTACACTAAGGATGCTGAAGGTGAGTTTTGTTATTGAACAGGAAGGGAAAAAAGGGGGAGAAAATACAATTTTGAACGCAGTTAAATAGAAACTACCCTGACCTGCACAGCGCAGGCTAGCTTTATCTCACCAGATTTTGGAGGCTACACAGGGTCAGCCTTGGTCAGTATTTGGGTGGGAGACCTCCAAGGAATATCAGGGTCATGATGCGAAGGCAGGTGATAGAAAACCACCTCTGAATGTCTCTTGCCTCAGTTCTGGTCCTCATACTTCAAAAAAGATATTATAGCATTGGAAAAGGTGTGGAAAAGGGCAACTGCAATGATTAAAAGGATGGAACGCCTTCCCTACGGAAAAAAAAGTTTAATGAGGTTAGAGCTTTTTAACTTGGAGAAATGACGACTGAAGGGTGATATGATCAGGGGTCATTTCCTGCAGGAGCGCACAGGAGCGGAGCTCCGGCAGTAAAGAGTCCAGGGGGCGGGCACATGCGACAAGCCCCACCCCCTGCTCCCAGCAGCCCTCAGTCAGAGCAAGAAGCAGCCAGGTAAATTGCAGGGGCCCCCCGGCCCCAAAACAGTCCAGTGGCACCTTTAAGGCCAAGTTTTATTCAGGTACAAGCTCTCCCTCCTCTGCGAGGACAGATCTGCACGTTCCACTCCCCCCCCAATAACTACCAATCCAAAACAACCCAGTGGAGCCTGAGCGGTGGGTGTTTCCTTCATGCACACTTCTGGTGTGTCACACTTCCGGGGTGTGACATATGCAAATAAGTTATGCTAATGAGTTATGCTAATGAGCTCATGCACCTCGTTTTCTATGAAATGACCCCTGGATATGATAGAGGTTTACAAAATTATCCATGGGGTACAGAAGGTAGAGAAAGAAGTTCTTTTCTTCCTTTCTCACAAGTCAAGGATTCAAGGGCACTCAATGAAATTAAGGAGCACGAGGCTTCTTCACCCAAAGAGTGATTAACACATGGAATTCACAGCCACAGGAAATGGTGGTGGCTACAAGCGTAGAGCGAATTGGATAAACATGTGGATTGGATAAACATGCGGAGCAGAGGTCCATCAGTGGCTCTTAGCCACAAGGCAGAGATGGAACAGTCTGTCTGGGGCAGTGATGTTCTGTATTCTTGGTGCTTGGAGGGCAAGAATGGGAGGGCTTCTGGATTTCTGGCCCCGCTGGTGGACCTCCTGATGGCACCTGGGTTTTGGCCACTGTGTGACACAGAGTGTTGGACTGGATGGGCCACTGGCCTAATCCAACATGGCTTCTTTTATGTTCTTAGTAGTTGGGGAGGCAACAGTGGGAGGACTTCTGGAATTCTGGCCCTGCTGGTGGACCTCCTGGTGGCACCTGGTTTTTGGCCACTGTGTGACACAGAGTGTTGGTCTGGATGAGCCACTGGCCTGATCCAACATGGCTTCTCTTATGTTCTTATAACCCCACCTAGGTTCACTGTAAGTTGTCTGACTTGATGTCAAAAAAACCAAAACCAAAAACAAGAAACACAACAAAAGAGAAAGAAACTGGCAACAAAACAAATTAAGAACAGAGTATTCGGATCATTACTTTAAACTGATATCTGGGAAAACTTGGGAAAAGAGTGATCATTTTCGCAATAAAAAAGACCTCCCTTGCTGGACTTCTTTTGAGACAGAGATTCCATAGAGGGGCCATCACTACCCCAAAAGGCCCATTTCTAGGAAGAAGGAGGAGGAGGAGGAGGAGGAGATTGGATTTGTACCCCACCCTTCACTGGGAGTGAAGGAAGGTTGTGGAAGGTTGGTAGTTCAGCAGTTCGAGACCTGGGTGTGCCGCATGACAGAGTGAGCTCCTGTCTCTAGTTCCAGCTCCTGCCAACCTAGCAGTTCAAAAGCAAGAAATCACAAGTAGATAAATAGGGACCACTTCGGTGGGAAGGTAACAGCGTTACCGGCCACATGACCACGGAAACGACTTCGGACAGCGCTGGCTCTTCGGCTTGGAAATGGAGATGAGCACCGCAACCCTAGAGTCGGATTCGACTGGCTTTCGAGCAAGGGAACCTTTACCTTTACCTTCACTGGGAGTCTCAGAGCAGCTTCTCTTTCGCAGCTTTCTCATCTTTCCTCAGAAGGCAGTCAGACCCTACGTGTTGTTCCGTGCACAAATTAGGCGTGAGGAGAATTTTGATCTTATCACCAGGCAAACTTGTCTTGACTGAATGTCCTCAGTCACCTGGGGTGAGGCCGGGGGAGACCCTGAAATGACGTCTGATCTCCAGACTGCGGAGGCCCGTTTCCCTGGAGAAAATGGCTGCCTTGAAGGGTGAACTCTGTGACATTACACGCCGCCAATGTCCCTCCCCTCTCCACACCCATCCCTCCTCAGGCCCCACCCCCAAATCTCCAGGGATTTCCCCACCCAGAACTGGCAGTCCTGATTAGACCTCCTCGCCAGACCCTCCGCCAAGCCATAACGCTGGCTATTTCTACTACAGTGAAAAATCCTTTCAGCAGCACAGTGGGTGCTTTCAGACGGGGCGTTGCAGCCGGCGTAAACTGCACCGATTCCAAACGGTACAGTTTATGCCGGCTGAAATGCGATCACACTTATCTCCTGTCTGTGGAGACCGTCGCTGTATGCCCGTTCATATGCAGTGGGCGTCGGCGTTTTTTTAAAAAAACTCAGTTTGAGCATGCGCATAGGCAGCCATCCACAGAATGGCGATCCTCACGCATGCGCAAAACATCCCGTCTTACATTTAAAGTTTAAAGGTAAGGACTTACCTATAAAGTTTAAAGACCAAACTGGCCTCCCTGAGCTCTCGGAGTCCTCTAAAACCTTAAACTAAGGACTTAAAAAAAAAATGCCGGGGCGAAGCTTCGCCCAAGCGCATATCGCTGACCTAACCAAAAAAAAAAAAGGCAGGCGAAAATCGGAAGCCTCGGGCTTCCGAACGGAAGTGGCTCTACAACGTTGGAGAGTGATCAGACGGGGGTAAAGCGATTACAACCGTTGCACTCAGGATACCACCACTTGGGGACCTAGTGGCAGAATACAGCGGTGTAAAGCTCTTTGCAACGGTTAGGGACGGAAGGCAGATGTTCGCCGTGTGAACGCTGGTAAGTACACCGATTCCAACCGGCACCTATACCGTTGCAAATGCCCAGTCTAAACGCACCCAGTGTTGGAGACCAGTGTTCCTCCTCAGATTGCAAAATGATGAGGGGGACGAGCTGAGGAACAGAGAGTGCGAGAGAGACTCCTGATACTGTCCACTCGGGAAAAAGTTGCAGGATAGGGTAAATGAGGTCCTATCCAGACTAATGATTTGTTCACTCTTAAAAAAGCAGCAACAGCGAAATAGTATCCAAATGGCAATCTGGTAGGCTTGCCAAGTCCCCCCGGGGGGTGGGGAAACCCCCGCCTCAGAGGCCCGTTCCCCGCCGCTGCCAGATCGGGCCCTGGGGGGAACTCCACCCCAACGTGCACATCACCAGAGAGTGCCGTGACCACGCCGGGCATGCTGGGGGCGGGGCCACTGTCATCTGAGGGAAAACTCTATCGACCCGGGAATCCCCCGCTCCGGAACAAGGTGACACTTGGCAACTCTACAATCTGGTCAACCTATTTTGTGTCGTTCAAAGGTTTTTGTGACTATACCTCCCCCACTTCCAAGAAGACAATACTGATCTTGAAAGCCAGTTTGGTGTAGCGGTTAAGTGCGCAGACTCTAATCTGGGAGAACCGGGTTTGATTCCCCACTCCTCCACTTGCACCTGGCTGGATAAACTTGGGCAAGCTGTAGTTCTGATAAGAGCTGTTCTTGAAAAAATAGCAGTTTCTGTCAGAGCTCTCTTAGCCCCACCTGCCTCACAGGGTGTCTGTTGTGGGGAGGGGAAGGGAAAGGAGTTTGTAAGCCGCTCTGAGACACCTTTGGGTAGTGAAGGGCGGGGTATAAATCCAATCTCTTCTTCTTCTTCTTTTTCTTCTTCTTGATGGACCACTGGTCTGATTCAGTATATGGTAGCTTCATGTGTGATCCATCTAGCTTCTGATAATAGCAGAGCTGTGGTATTTTTCACCATCTGGAATTTCCGAATTGATTTTGAGGGGGAGACCAATGTCCAGTGCATTACAGTGGTCTAGTCTTGATGTTACCATAATCAGAAGCCAGTGGGATGAACATTTTAACATATTAACACCCGGGGCATTCTGGGGCTGATCTACTCTCCCCCCCTTCTCCTACAAAAAGAACTTCAAAGGGAGAATCCAATGTGAAATCGCCACATAATTCACTTACAAGTTCAGGATTATTCCTTCCCATAATTCTCAAAAGGACTTTGGATTTACTATAGGGCCTAATATCTTACAGAGCACACCTCATGCAGACGTTTCTTATTTCAGCTACATTTGTATGCTGCCTCCTGCAGGCCTCAAAGGAGAGTGCAGTGCTTATGACTGAGGGCCGTGGGGGAGTCCCCGTTGCAACTCTGCTTCCGTCTAATTGCAAAGGAGTAATCCTCTAATAATAGAAAACAACCCACCCCTGAATAATCCCTTTAGCCACGACAGCCCATCCCTGCTGAAATCGGGGAGGAAGATGTGGCCATGCCGGGGTGCGTGTGGTCACACTTTCCTGGAATTGCACCAGGAAGAATGAATAGGCAACAACAGCCAAGCAGGAACCACATCTGTGGTTGCCAGTAAATAACTCCCTGTCAGGCAGCAATCTGATTGCAGGCGTTGTTTCGTCACTGTCTCCTACTCTGGTGAAACCCAGTTTGGGGGAGGTATATAAAGGGTAGGGAGAGCCTTTCCCCATCATCACAGCGGCCTGAATCCTTCTCTGTCTTCGTTAGGCTCGGTGAGTGTTTTTTCTCTCCCTAAACCACCACTGGGAACCTCTGAAGGCCGGCCCGCCCCACATAGTGGACTTCATAGCTCTTCTGGGACATTTCAATTTGGAAAAGAGACGATGAAAGGGGGCCATGAGAGAGGTTTTATAAAATTATCCCTGGGGTGGAGAGGGTTGGCAAAGAGAAATTCTTCTCCCTCTCCCCAGAGACTAGAACTCGAGGGCATCCGATGACGCTGATGGGCAGTAGGCTCAGGATGGACAAAAGGAAACACCACTTCATGCAGAGAGGGATAAAAATGTGGAATTCGCTGCCAGAGGATGTAGGGATGGCCAAAGGGTTAAACAGCTTTAAACGGGGATTAGATAGCTTTGTGGAGGACAAGCTGATCATGGTAGCTGAGGGGAACCTCCACATTGAGAGGCATGAAACCTCTGAATCCCAGAGCCAGGAGGCAACATCAGGGGAAGGCCTCGGCCTCTCTGCCCTGTTGTTGGCCCTCCAGAGGAACTGGTTGAGGCCACTGTGTGAGACGGGATGCTGGACAAGATGGACCCTCACTGGTCTGACCCAGCAGGGTTCTTCTTATGTTCTTCTGAGGGGAAGGCCTCGGCCTCTGTGCCCTGTTGTGGGCTGTCCAGAGGAACTGGTGTGAGACAGGATGCTGGAGTGGATGGATTATTGGTCTGATCCAGCAGTACTCTTCTTATGCTCTTTCTCTTTCCTCAAGACATCCTAGGAAGGGTAGTTCCATGGGGGGGTGGGGCGGAATCTACGAACCAAAATAAGACGTTGCTTTAGGGTTGCCAGGTCTGGGTCAGAAAAGACCTGGAGATTTTGGGGGTAGAGTCAGGAGAGGGCGGGGTTTCGGGAGAGGAGGGGCCTCAGCATGGTAAAATGGAGTCCACCCTTCAAAGCAGCCATTTTTCCCCAGGGGAGCTGCTCTCTGTCAGCTGGAGATCAGGTGTAAAAGCGGGAGATCCCCAGGCCCCACCTGGAGGCTGGCAACCCGACATTGCTTTGTAGCCTTTCCAGAACAGGCAGAAGCTATGGCCACAGAGTAGCTACATCCCAGGCAAATCATTGGAACAGAGATCTCTTTGCCTCTTTGTAAAAAACCCCCTAACTTCTAACAAACTATCAATCTTCACATGAATGATTTTACTGTTTACTTTGGGCTATACAAAGTTTATTTATTGAAATCTGTGTAAGATGTTTCTCTGCTGCCTCTTCGGAGTCGCGAGAAAGCTGCCAATGGAAACCGTGCTGCAATGTTTAGGAACATTCCGTGCCGCTTCTTCAGACTCCGCCCGAGGCCGCTTAAAAGGAAAACCGTGCGAACTAATTCTTTATTTAGGATCTTTCTATGCTGCCTCTGTAGAGCCTCGCTTGAGGCGGCTGCCAACTGAATTCACTCCCATATTCAAAACAAGCCCTTGGCTGCGGTCACGCCCACTCGGTAATCCACTTCCGATCCACTTCCAGTGCACTTTCCAACTGGACTTTTATTACTGTGAGCTGGCAAAATCCAGTGGGAAAGCGGATTGAAAGTGGATTGGAAGTGGATTATTGAGTGGGTGTGGCCACAGCCCTTACAAAACAGACCATTGGTCCTGAACAGCATCAAAATAAGCCATAAAACAGAAGCAGGACTCTAATCTGGGAGAACCGTGTTGGATTCCCCACTCCTCCACTTGCACCTGGCTGGATGACCTTGGGCAAGCCGTAGTTCTGATAAGAGCTGTCCTTGAAAAAGAGCAGTTTCTGTCAAGAGCTCTCTCAGCCCCACCCACCTCACAGGGTGTCTGTTGTGGGGAGGGGAAGGGAAAGGAGTTTGTAAGCCGCTCTGAGACACCTTTGGGTAGTGAAGGGCAGGGTATAAATCCAATCTCTTCTCTCTTCTTCTTCTCTTCTTAAAAAGCGGGTAAGGGGAAGCCCCCCAATTAAATGCTGTTTAAGTTGATCACTGTTGCAATCAGTTATATGGCTGCCAGACCCAGGCGGGGAAACTCCTGAAGATTTGGGGATGGAGCCTGGGGAGGACAGGGACCTCAGTGGGGTACAGGGCCACGGAGTCCACCCTCCGAAGCATCTGTTTCCTCCAGGGGAGCTGATCTCCGTAGTCTGGAGATGAGCTGTAATTCCGGGGGATCTCCAGGCCCCACCTGGAGGCTGGCATCCCTAACGGCATTGGTGCGGTAGGGGTGGTGGTGGAAAGGGCCGTCAGGTCACAGAGCCTTATGGCAACCCTGTCAGGCTGTCAAAGCAAGAGATGGCTCAGAGGTGGTTTGTCATTGCCTGGCTCTGCATAGCAACCCTGGACTCCCTCGGTGGTCTCCCATCCAAACACTAACCAGGGTTGACCCTGCTTAGCTTCCGAGGAGGGAGCCCCACCAACATACCTCTGTGCTGTACAGCACCTCCGGGTTCAGTCGAATGCTGCCCTGCGCAAAGGGAATGCTGCTTGGTGTTGTGGTTAGGAGCGCGGGTCTCTAATCTGGGAGGACCAGGTTTGATTCCGCACTCCTCCACATACAGCTGCTGGAGTGACCTTGGGTCAGTCACAAGTCCTTTCAGAGCTGTCCACTTAAGAGCAGTTCTCGAATGAGATCTCTCCAGCCCCACCTACCTGGCAGGGTGTCTGTTGTGGGGAGGGGAAGGGAAAGGAGATCGTAAGGATAAAAGGATATTATAGCTTTGGAAAAAGTGCAGAAAAGGGCAACTCGAATGATAAAAGGGTTGGAACACTTTCCCTATGAGGAAAGGTTAAGGCGCTTAGGGCTCTTTAGCTTGGAGAAATGACGACTGAGGGGTGACATGATTGAGGTTTATAAGATTATGCATGGGAAAGAGCAGGTAGAGAAAGAGGTACTTTTCTCCCTTTCTCACAATACAAGAACTCGTGGGCACTCCATGAAATTGCTGAGCGGTCGGGTTAGAACGGATAAAAGGAAGTACTTCTTCACCCAAAGAGTGATTAACACTTGGAATTCACTGCCACAGGAAGTGGTGGCGGCTACAAGCATGGACGGCTTCAAAAGGGAATTAGATAAGCATACGGAGCAGAGGTCCATCAGTGGCTATTAGCCACAACGCAATGTTCCCTCTAAGCTGTGGAGTCTTGTGAGCAAAAAATCTACTCTGTGAGCTACCGGCATTCAAATTGTGAGCGAGCGATTTGGCTGCTGCATTGAACTAGTTTGCTCTGGAGCCATCTTTCCTGAGCTAGGGCAAAAATGTGTGAGCCGGAGGCTAAAAAATGGTGAGCTAGCTCACACTAACTCAGCTTAGAGGGAACACTGGCCACAAGGTATAGATAGGGACTCTGGGGCAAGTGATGCTCTGTCATCTTGGTGCTTGGGGGGGTCAACAGTGGGAGTGCTTCTAATGTCCTGGCCCCACTGGTGGACCTCCTGATGGCACTGGTATTTCTGGCCACTGTGTGATACAGAGTGTTGGACTGGATGGGCCTTTGGCCTGATCCAACATTGGCATCTCTTATGTTCTTATGTTCTTAAGCGGCTCTGAGACTCCTTTGGGTAGTGAAGGGAGGGGTATAAATCCAATCTC